AGCACCCACCGGCATACGTGGGCTAAGCACCGCCGAGGCGGCGGCAAAGCAAATTAAACCACGGGCTCGGCATCAGGTGGGATCTGGCGGGTTGCAAATTATTCAATCCCTTGCGCTGGTGAAGTCCAACGGGGTTGGCCCCAGCCAGACCCCTCGCAAAACCCCAAACAGCCAACATAGCCTGCCTTCAGTGAAATAATTGGTGGAATGCACACCTTCACGCCCTGCCGCTCACCCGGTCTCCCAAAATCAAAACACGCTACCCTGCAGTGCGGGACACTCTTTCAGAAGACTATCCCCCTGCTTTGAGTAACACGCCTTCTGGTTGAACGCTGCTGCTGAGGGCTTGCAGATAAGGGCAAGTTTGTTGGATCTAGGATTTTTTTTGGGGGGGCATCTAATCCACACAGGGAAATTGTGCTGTTGGGAGGGTGAGACAGACACAATGACGCCCGTGCAATGTCGGCTAGAATAGTCAGTATCCCAACTGTGAGGGTTGGGGAATTAAAGTGTGATCTAGGGGCTGTGGGCAACATGCCAGCCTCCCATTGGGGCCTTTTGTTCTTGGCATTTCAGCCACCTCTCTCCACCTGGGGGCATTTCTAGTGGGTCCCAGGAAGTCTGGCAATGCTTAAGGCAGCCGTTTTGCCTCTCACCCCGTCGGAGACGCCCTCTTCCAATGGGGCCTGGCCCTGCGCACTGGGAGAGGGTGGCCCTCCACGGGCATGGAACCGTGGCCATCCAGCTGTGGGGAACTGGGCACTGCTGCGCCAGGGAGCTCAAAGCGGATGCAGAATGTCGGGACGGGGTTTTTGCACCGCGTCCCTGGGCAGCTGGGAGGCAGGAAACGTGGCTGACCCGCGGGACGCCAGCAACTCGTCCTCCCCGCCTGCTGTCGAAAACCTGCTGAGGCAGGACCTCTGTGATGGGGTGGGGGGAGATACCCAGGATCTGCTTTTCCCTGGCTCTGGTTTCCACACAAATTTGGGATCAAGCAAACCCACCTCCTTCCCCTTTGCTAACTCCGGCAAGTGTTATGGTCTCTTGTGACGGACCACGCAATTGCTTGGGGTGCTTGCGAAAGCCCTGGGAGGGGGGCTGGTGGATGTGGGAAGGGGGTCACCAACCTCAAGAATGCATCGCTAGCATTCGGATGCCAGCTCCCTCTTTTGGAATTAATTTAAAGGGGGGGGAGAGATAGAAAGGGAGGGGGTCAGGCCCCTTCCCCACCTGACCTCCCACATGCACGCATATGCCCGTGCACAAATGCAGTGTCACTGACTCGGGATGTTGGGGACTGTCCATGCAACCCTGGTCCACTAAGGGGCTGTGACGCGGGAGGGGCAGGAAGAGGAGGAGGGAGGGGCTAAAAGGTTATTGCTGCAACTATTTTTTCGCCCCCACCCCACGGAACAGCTGTTGCTTGCCCGCCACCCCCGGACTGGATTAAATACAGCATCTTCTGCTCCCCGGATCGCCCTGCCCTGCCTTCTGCCCCCGACCGGACGAAATCCGCCTAATCCGACTTCTCCCCGTCGTCCTCTTGGTGGGCGTCCCCGTCGTGCCCGTTCTTGTCTTCCTTGGAGAGGTGGGCCTGGGAGCCCAGCGCAGAGAGGGAAAGCAGGCCGGTGCTGGCGCTCACGGCGGGGAGGGAGGGAGCCTGCAGGCCCACGGACAGCGGGGTGAGGGGCAAGGCGAGGGCCTGGAGCTGGGACAGCTGATGAGCCTGAAGCTGCTGCTGTAGAGAAGATCCGAGAGAGGAAAACAGACGAGAAAGAAGGGTGAGACGCGGCCATCCCCACCGTCACCTGCCTTCGATCGTCCCTATTGATTTACCGTCCAGGTCCAATAAAACACAGGTATGATGTTTTAAATACAGGTTGTCCTCGTTTATCAGACCACAATCTGACTTCAGCTTTCCTTTACTTTACAGACCTGCAAACGTCGTAAATGCGAGGATTGGTCAGAAAGTTTTTTTTCATCACCGCTGTAACTGTGAACGGTTGCTAAACGAGGCAGTTGCTAAACAAGGACAACCTGTATAGAAAAAACCTAAGCTGGAATGATGAAGAAGGAGAAGACGGTCTTGACCAAATTCTGCAAGCCTGCTATTGCTAACAACTTGGCAACCTTTATTGCGGAGTCCAAGCTAGGTCTTGCTTGCAGGACAATTTATTTGTTTGTTTGTTTATCTATTTATTTTTCAGATTTATACAGCTGCCCATCTGATATACAGGACTCTGCGCAGCTTCCAACCATTAAAACTAATAGAAAAACAACAAAAAAGAACAATACTACCATTTAAAAACAAGAAAAGAAACAATACAAAAGCATGTAAAAACTGTGATGAAATATATCCAGGTAGTCCTCAACTTATGACGACACTTGGGACAGGAATTTCCGTTGCTAAGGGATGGGGTTGTAAAGCATGACCACATCGCCTAGCAACAGCAATCCCTGCAGTCCTGGGTACCGTTATTAACTGAATCCCATGGTTGTTAGGTAAGGCAACTTCCTGCCAGCTTCCCACAACCAAATCAGTGAGGAAGCCAGCAGAAAGTTGCAGGTCCCAGGCTGGCAGGCAGGTAAGTGGCTGCTGTCGGGTGGGGGACAGAGCAAGGGGGTGTGCAAGTGGCTGGGGCTGCACAAGCGCAGAGGGGCTGAGGAGAGTGTACAGGTGGGGGAGACTTACCCCAGCAACTTATGACCTCCCCTGCTGGCTTCCCCACTGACTTTCTGGGGAAGCCGGCAGAGAAGGTTGCAAATGACGATCCTGTGATCGCAGGGGGCTTGGCAACCAGCTGTAAGTGCAAATGGGTTGCCAAGCGCCCAGATCACGATCACGTGACCACGGGGCTGTTGGGATGGCTGTAACTCTGAGGACCAGTCATAACCACCATTCGTTCAGCACCGTCATAACTTCGAACGGTCGCTGAACAAATAGTCATAAGTTGAGGACTACCTTTAAAACACACAACTGAGGTAATCCCATTCATCAAAACAATCAGTACAGCTGCTGTACCAGCTCAGCCATACTCCTGGGTCCTCATGCCTGTTAGTAATTGTAATGTCTTCGCCAGAAAGACAACTAAAATTGCTGACAATCGGGTTTAGCAGCGCCAGATGCCAGGGGTGGTACAATGGGCAGTGTAACTATGCACGGGTTACCGATTCAGCCTCTATTTCTGAGTGTGCAGAATTATAGTTATTAAGTTTGCATGCTCAGATGTGGTTTTTGCACAGTAAAGTAGCATGCTATACCTGTTGATGTGGCTCGACAGGTTAAATTTGGAGATTCCCCCCACCCACCCCTGTCCAGTTTTGTCCTCAGTTCTCACTCCTTGAGCATAACCTGACAGCATGTTGTATGGCCTTCTCAGAAACAACAAGGCAAAGAGAGAGAGAGAAAGAGAGAGAGGGAGACCCTCTAATGCAGTGTTTCTCAACCT